CCCCAAAACCCCAAAACCCCATGCTTCTAGAATATTTATAAAATAAAGGTAAGTATTAAAACTGGTTATTTACATTTTAATTAATCATTATGAGAAGTGGTTTGGCCTAAAAGGTGCAGGTTTATTCATAAAATCATAGTTCTATTGCCATGGGTTCAAAACTGGGATTTATGGCTTTATCTACTCCTGAGACTCTTTTCTTTATTACTATTAAGACTGAATATGCCTATTTGGATCTATCAATACCTGCCTTTAACTTTCAACTAAGTGCTAATACCTCTGATTGTATTTTTAGCTTCTTTCTTTGTTGTCATACTCTAAGCAAATAAATAATTAATAAAGATAAACTTACTGCATCTACATTTAAGATATACGCCCCCGCAGTTGAAGCACATGTCGAACCCACACTTGCCACATGTGACATGATCACATCCGCTTTTCTTCTATATCCAATATCTGCAGCGTGTGCACTGTATATTGCCCTCATAAATCATTCTATCTATAAATTTCTAATCATTGTCATCAAATCTTTAATTTCTCTTGTACTCTTCACAAGATTAATCTTAATGAAAGATAGTTTTGCAAGGTATACAGATCTTTTTCTGGCATTTCTTGCAGATTTAATGGGGCTCATCTTGATTTTAATCCCAAGCAAAAGCAAATCCACATCCTGGGTTGGGGCAATGCTGAATATCTGGCTGCTAATCAGCAACTTTTTAAATGGAGTAGTTTAGATATTTTTCGTAAATATCAATTGAGATTAGGGCCCTGAGATCACTGTCTAGTAGAAGTTTGCGGCATTCATGATCTGGACATTTCAAAGGATAGACGCATTGATTTATGCTGGATATCAAAAATCTCTGTAAGCATTCTTTGTGAAATAAATTACTACACCCTTCCAATGGATATACATGATATGTATCATCACGAGGATTTCCCTGATTCTTATCTTCATTATCTTCAAATATTTCAAGGCATATCATGCATTTAAACCCATTAATCTGCTTTTAAATCTCTGCTTAAGTTTTAATATCTTACTGCTCCTACACTCTTATCATTTCCAATATTTGCCTATTTAATTTGTTCATTTCATTAGGGTCTAGAAAATCTAGGTCATCTTTTTCATCCAATATCTTTATCTTTCACTTGTTTTTTTCCTCAAGCTATTTTTATTTTATCTGTAAATTAGCTAATTCAATGAGCTTTTTCTGAGCTGAGTTTTATTTCATTTAGGTCTAAAATATCTAGTCTATGTCTTTTTTGTTTTCGTCTACAATAGTCTCTAATTTCTTTTCATCCAAGAAATCATACATCGGATTTTCTCTTAATTTATAAGACTCTAAAATTTCTTATTGCTTTGATGCTATGTTCTAACAAATGGCTTGGTGAAAAGGATTGTTTCTCATATCAAATGAATCAGCAGAATTCATTGTAGATTATTGAGAAAATGTTTTCCTTTCTTGAGAGAAAATTGTCTGTTTCCTTTCCTATATTTAAATCATTTATTGGTCAGATTCTATGAACTGGACTCTATCTTGATTGTAGTTACCAAATTCTTTATTGATATCATATTTATGATGCTCCAATGGTGGATCTAACTCTCTATTAGAAGCCTCCTAGAAATCTAATTTTAGGCTATCAACTTGTCCCTAATTTGGCTAATTCTAATTATTCTATTATTTTTCTTCTTCCTCCTCAATGTACTCTTGTTTTATTATCATTTTAGGACTAAGAAGACTTATAAATCTCTCTGATATTTCCATTTATTAATCAAGCAGAGATTGTTTTAAACCCATTCTTAAGCCCTCAATCTTGATACTTATTATATGGTTTTCTTGATGAAGCTCTGAATTCAACTAGATTTAATGAGAGAATTTTTGGAGTCTTTTTTTAGGCGGCTGATAGGGTTTATGCTTATCAATAAACTTTTTGCTTTGCTTGTATAATCTATATCTTTGATCTAACTTATCCTAATTCTTTTTTACCTTATGAAAGTACTTGGTCTTTTAATCCACGTAGGATCTTACAAGCTATAATTTAAGAGTTGGTTAAATCTAGAAATAAATACAAAAATTAATGTGAAAATTAATGATCATTATTGATAGAAAGACAATAGATACCTTCTGAAAAATGAAATCATTTCAACTGAGTTTTTTGTAAGCCATCCCTAGAATAAATGCATCGTCTAATTCTAGTGATTGTTTGTAATCCTTTAAACAGGTAATTAAATCAGCAAATTTTTCGACCTTTGACTTCTTAATCTCGAAAGAATTTGTTGTCTTTACTTCTTGATTATCTTTTTCTACTTAATTTATCTTCATTATTGTTGATTATTGATTTATTATGCTTTTAAATATTCTTTAGAAATCTAGTTGGGGTTTTGGGGTTTTGGGG